AAAAAATAAGCCGAAAAGGAAGATAAATAGGAAAAGAAAAAAAAATATGTAAGAAAGATGAGAAAGAAAAAATGATGATAATAATGATGATGATGATGAGGGAGAAAAAGCAGAGAACGGAGATGATGAAACAGATGAATTGGAAAAGGAGACGACGAAAAGGATAAGATGAAGAAGCAGGTGACGATAAGGATGAAGAAAAATAAAAGTAAGAAGAAGATGATGAGCAAGTAGAAGAAAAGAAGGGGAAAACTAAGTTGATAAAGATGATGATGATGGTGATGGAGAAGATTATGAAAAAGAGGATGGTGAAAGAGCAAGAAGCAAAAGCAGAAGATGATGACGAAGCTGATGCAAAATAAGAGGAAGAAGATGAAGATTATGATGATGAAGAAGAAAAAAAGAAAATGAAGTGGATTAAAAAGAGGAAGAAGAAGTAGAAGGAACCGAAGACCTCTTTCTGGGTCTCTTGAACCTAGGCCTGGAGTGAGGTTCAGCTATTGCAGCAGCGAAGCTTGAGTAAGCAAGGAGCACAACGATCCTTTTTCACACGATTCCGCATAACCGAGTTCACATTCACTCATTTGAAGATCTGTTGCTTTGCCGAGGATTATAGATGAGGCAATTTAGTATTTGCCACCACAGTTTGAGATACTATTTACTTTATAGATGAGTAGTTCTCGCAACTACTGTCAGTCCCGAAATGTTTTCTCAGATATATCATCTGGGATAATACATGTCGGGTTGTGTAGAACATCTGGGTCCATTTCAGGGACTAGTCAACGAGAATATCCACGCTGGGGATGGATGGAAAGGTGACGACTGTGAGAAAAAGCATGTACAAAAGAGGCTGTAAGCTGACTCAGGGGGCAGTTACGAAGGCGATTTTTTTCGATGTGATCCAAAGAGGCGTTCGAGGATGATATCTGCTGATCCGTATTTTCATCACATTCCTGATTGACTTGCCGTAGATACGCACTTATTTGTTTGTCTCTGCCGATCTGGGAGAGGCCGAATCTGAGCCGATTTTGGTTTAACTTTCAGGACAACAGCTGATCGAGATGGGAATGTTCCTGAACCAATTGGGGGTCGTCTTATCGTCATCCGATCGGCAACCTACTCTTGTCGACGAGGTCATCGAGGAGTGGCTGGAGCGACGCCCCGAGGTGGAACGGCACTTGATGCAACTTGAAAGAAGACACTCCATTTGCCGGAGGCAGCAAACTGTGAGTTTCGAAAACTTTGACGTTCCTGCAAGGACTTCTAAATTCGTGTCGAGCTGTTAGTTTTGGTGTTTGGCTTTTTTGACGGAAAAGTGTTTGTGGACCTCACAATAGTACGGAAGAGGACTGTTTCGCCTCTTGTCTCGACCGAGATGGCATGTGAGATCGGCAAGCAGCGCTAGACCAAATGGAGATTTTGACATTTCGCTTTAGTTGCAATAGACTTTTATCAATCTACCGTTTGTTTTCGAGACTATCAGCAAATCATGAAAAAGATCAGATACCACAAGCGACCCCGCTGATTGGCTTGTTGCTAGGCCAGGTCATACGTAGCGGTAACATGTTAGAAATAAACATCGAAAAAAGGCTTCACTTCCGCTTGACCAGCGTCAAGAAAGTAGTCAGTAGCTAATGCAATTGTAAAAGAATACGTGCTCATCTTCTTCGGAGGTTCTGGCGATCAGCAGAGATGGTCAGCTCGGCAGACATTTGTACGGCAAATTAGCATATGCGGGTCCGGGTCCGAGTCCCGCTCGGAGGTGGCGATGAGACGGGTTCAGGCGAGCCGAGATGAGGGCTCATGCGACTTGGGCTGAGTAGACATCTTTTTTGAGATTTACTGACAGTCTCGAAATGAAAAGGTGTGTGTGTGTGTGTGTGTGCATTCAGCCTAGACCGCCTCAACCAGTCTCATCACCACCTCCGAGCGGGACTCGGACCCGGAATTACTTTCGGCGTTGGTCACAGTTCCAAATAGCATTAGCAACTTTTTACTTTCTTCACGCTGGTCGAGGGAAAGTTAAGCTTTTTTTCGATGTCTATTTTTCACATGTTACCACCACGTATGACCTGGCCTAGCAACAGGCCAATCAGCCGGTTTGTTTGCGGTATCCGATCTGTTTCTGCGGTCGTCTTGGTGTTGGAGACTGTATCTGCAGTGCCGTTGTTGCCACGGCTCGTCCAGATCCCTGTTCTGCATGTCACCTTTTATAAGACAATCAGCTGTCTCATGGCAGACAGGACAGTCTCTCTCAAACCATCCACTTCCGCAATGCAAAGTCGGCTCTTTTCCATGCATTTTATGACCCCCGTCGACGGATAATATCTTTCTAACTCTTTGCTATCTCCACTCTACAGGAGGTCTTGGATGGTGGATCGTTGGAAAGTTCTCCCCGTCGCATAGGCTCCGACAAAGCACACTCGAGGGCACCAACTTTGCCGAAGAGTCAAGAAGAGGTAGTCAGAACAAGTGGTCTGTCAATCAGAGAAGTCATCTCGACTGAGATCCAGCGCTGGATAGAGACGGTGCGTTTATCCCAACATACCTCACTTTTCCCATCCATTTCTGCATATACCTTTTCACCGTTCTATCCTCGTCATACTTCCAGCAGCAGATTAGCCATTTAATTGCTTTTCTGGGCACACAATTTTAGCCATTTTATTTTCGTGCGCATATTTCCAGGTGCATCAAGTTGGCATTCTTAAAAAATGACCAGAACTAACTAATCTTAGAGCTGAACGAATTAGTTCAAGTATTTAAAATGTGTATTTTATTGTATGAATCAATAAACAATACAATTCACCGTTGAGGAATAACAGGATTCCCCAGTATATGACTATTACTATTAATATTAATTAGACAATAAAGTAATTATTTAGTCAATTTAGTACTAAAGCATGTAACACATTTTAATTAAATATGTGCATGCATAAATATATTAACAGTCGAAACATAACTAAATAAAGAGTTGATTGATCTTGGTTTCGCAACTTGCTCATATTATCAGGATCATTTTCAGAGTCGGATCATGGACTTGGGAATGTACCAAGATCACGCTCCGACCCTGGAAATTATGATGCGTACAAGTCTCTAAGTCTTCTTACCAACATGACCAAGTTGCGAAACCAAGGTCAAACAATTTCTATAAAACGAAAGGAGACCGCGACCATACAAAAGGCCATACTTCCGATGACTATGTTAACTTCAATAATTCAACAAGTTGGCGAAATACTAATTAGTAAAAGTGTATACATATTTGTGCATACAGCATGGCCGAATAGTCGGTACCTAATCCCACTGCTGAATAGTTTAGTCTTTGTCGGAGCGACAGGGAGACCTTGTGTAACGTACCTAGTCCTGAGTCTTGTGTCATAATATTCACAATGATTTTCAGCATCCGACCGTTGACTTGGTACATTCACAGACGTTTCGCAAGCATTGCTGCACAGGCCGTTTCCATCGCTCCGACTGAGTTGCGAAAACGAGGTCAAACAAACACCATATAGCCAAAGGAGGCACAGGTCACTGAGACAAAGGGTCACATCGTCATGGTGCTTATAGCAAAGAAAAGTTTAGTTTAAGTATGGAAATCTTATATTTTATTGTATAAATCAGTGTAATCGGTGTTTTATCAACCGAATAAATACCAATATCACTGCTAGATAAATACATAAATAATATAATTATTCAAAATTGCATATTAATATATTACAATATTGAGAAATAACAACGAATAAACGTATAAAACTGAAAAATGAAATATATAACCATATTTTATGGTCAACTCGGCATTCTTAAGTAACGATCAGAATTAACTACCCCCAAATCTGGGGGTTAAGTTTAAGTATTGAAATTGTATATTTTATTGTATCAACCAATAAACAGTACTCTACATTATAAACGAATTAATATAAACATCATAATCAATTTTAAATTAGTGATTATTAGGTAATTACCTACTTAATATAATAGTAAAATGTATAGCAAATCCATAAAAGTGAAATATATGAACATACAACATGAGCAAATAGTGGGGTAGCAAGGTAGTCATGATAATTTCCAGCATCGAACCGTTCAATTGGTACACTTCAGGTATACTCCACCTGCATTGTAGGTGAGACAGCATCCTCGACACCAATTTGCAACTTATCAGAGCGACTTCTCGAAGAATGTATTGCTTGACATTTCTGGCATCCTTCCTCAAACACATCATTGCCTCTAGCGCCGCTGCATCTATCAATAGGCCTCAGTGACTTGGCTTTTCCAATGTCGCCCAACCGTGCGTCGCTTCAAGTGGGTCCACATGCATCCGGCAATCTCGAAAGTCTTGATCCCAGCTTTCGTGTCCTTTGTCTGCCAGCATGTATTCACATCACGCACCACGAATATACGAGAGAATATCTGCGATAACCTCAGTCCTGTCCAAGTCCCCTTGGTCTGGGAAACCTGATGATCCAGTAATTCCCGTCCCCACCTCCACCCCCTTGTGTTTGTGTGTGTATGTGTGTGTGTGTGAATATACACTTGCACAAAGTCCCGTCTATTTTTGGGCTTCTATGTTACACAGTTGGATGTGATTTCATGTGCTGTTAAATCCCACCGTCAAGCCTACCATGCAAAAACTTTCACACACACACACACACATTCATACACTTGACCCGTGTACTTAGAGCCAAATGAGATTATTCCATCAGCCTTTACTACAAGCTAGATCCTGAAATGTGTATCCTTTATCGTCAAGTATTCAGAAGTTGTCATTCCGTATGCATACAACCCCAGTTGCACCGAACTTTTTGACGCTAATTCCAACAATCTACTCCTGACTTCCATTTTGGCCGCAAGATTCTCTTTCTGGCGATGCTTCTTCTGGTTGCTTAAGCGCTAAACTTGATCCGAGCGTCCTCTTTCTACCATTCTTGCTTAGGTTCCGGTTTCTCTACATTCGCCGGCTTTACTGACCTCACTTTTCTTATAGTTCCAGCTGATATTGTGACTTTCGGTGGTCTGTGTTCGCCTGGTTCCCACCTTTCTGTCTACATGCTTCTGTATCGCAGCCTGACGGTTCATCCGATCTCGTGTGAAGTGATAAAGGATTGCTGGTTGCAAGTTCCCATTCATTCATCCGAGACGATGTGAACTGAAGATCCGACCCCACCTAAACTGATCGCATCAGCCTCTAAGGCGGGACTCGAACCACGATTGTGCTGGTGCAGCGTACGCGAACTGTGAGACCGACTGATCTGATCGCGGAAAAATACAACTTCCAGTCGTTCATCGCTTTAAACCAACTAGCATTAATACAGCCCTTAGTTCACATTGACCGGTAGTCTCGAAAATCTTCTTTAAAGAATGAGTTACTTTCTTTCATATTCTCTAGTGCATCTTCGTCCACAGTCGATGCAGTTGATAAAAAAGTTCTTGACCTACTCATTTGTTGGACTTTTCATGTTGGGCGGGTGAGCTGATAAAGTGTTCGTCATCTCCTTCAGAATCATACAAATCTTACATTTCATCATTAGAGGCCG